TCCTCTCTCCTCTCTCCTCCTCCTCTCTCCTCTCTCCTCTCTCCTCTCTCCTCTCTCCTCTCTCCTCTCCTCTCCTCTCTCCTCCTCTCCCTCTCCCCCTCTCCCCTCCCTCCCTTCCTCTCTTTCATCTCGTCACTCGACTTCGTAGGCTTCAGTTCCTGTTGGACGTCAGCGACAGGATCGAGCATGAAGGAGCAGAAGCGCAGATAGTGCAGGAGATCGAAGGCTGCAGCCCGAGGATCTTTCATCCTACATGGGAGAAATATCTGCATGTGGACCTCATCACCGACCTCGGGGGAGGAGAAGGTCAACTGCCCTGCCCTTCCTCCTTGTCTCCTCCTATTGCCGTTCCTCCTCCCGCCCCCCCCTTTTCCCCTCCCTCGTCTCGTCTCGTCTCGTCTCGTCTCGTCTCGTCTCGTCTCGTCTCGTCTCGTCTCGTCTCGGCTCCCTCCTCTCCCTCTTCTCCCTCCTCTGTCTCCTCTCCTCTCCTCTCCTCTCCTCTCCTCTCCTCTCCCAGACTCTCCCTGACAGCGCGGCAGGTACAAGTTCGACAGCGTCAAAGACCTCCTGCGAGCTATCAGGAACAAGAAGAGCCACTATCACGACCTACCCCCTCCCCTCCAGCAGACCGTGGGGCCAGTCCCCGACGGCTTCCTCTCCTACTGGACCAGCCGCTTCCCCGACCTGATCATGGAGATGTTCTTTGTTCTGAGAACTTCCAGCGTGTGGGAGGAGGTGACGTTCAAGCCGTACAGGTGAAGGGAGGCATAGCATGTTATGTTGTGCCGGAGAGGAGAAGGGAGAGGATGGATGCGAAGAGGTGGGGGGGGAGGAGAGGAGGGAGGAGGGGAGGTGCTGCGATGAGACAATTGTAATTTTACTTTCTTGATGTCTTAATGAAACCAACAACGTGATCTCGAGCATGAAAACTGAGATGAGAATGATCGTGAAGCTAGACATCAGCACATGTGTGCTGTCACTTGTATTGAACCTTTTTCTTCCAACCCTGTATGGCTTGAGTTCGGGTTATCCTCCTCCTCCTCGTC